CCCCCCTCCCTCCCTCCGTGCCCGAGGGGCTGCGGGGCCGGCACGGTGAGTGCGGGGAAGGGTCCCCGGGCCGGGGGAGCCCAGCGGGGCCTGTTCCTCGGCCTCTCCAGCAGCGGGTTTGCAGCCATTCCCTCTTCTCCTTCCCACAGGGATAACCGGCCCCTGACGCTGTTTTCTTCTGCCTCTCCACTCTTGCTGACTCTGCTCGTTGTTTAGTCGCTGTTGTTTCGTTTTCGAAGCCTCTCGAAGCACCGAACCGAGCTCCCCGAGGGGGCCTCCCAGCACACCGAGGTGTTTCTTCTCTGCTGCCAGCAAACTGCCATCAGTTTCAGCTGCAAACACTTGGTAAAGGGTTACCCGGTCTCCTGAGGAACCGTGGTGCTGGTATTAAACTGCATTTATCCCCAGAGCTGAGGGGAATTGCCTTGTCTAATGCCAGTCACTTTGTCCTTCATCTGCTGCTGCCAGTGTAGTAAAACAACAGGTAGTTACTAAATTGACCCCTTCATTTAAGTTCCCTCTGTTTCTTTAGAAGATCAGGGTTCTTCTTAAAACTCTGCCTGTGTGCTTAGTGTTTGTAACTTAGAGCTTCCTTAAGTAACTTCGTTTTTATTTTCTTTTCTTAATGTTGTTTTTCCTTCCTCAGTATTATAACAGAGAAATATGGCATCCTCAGACCTGGAAGATTTGTGCTTTCACATCAACACCAAGATTTCAACGATTAAAAAGACTCTTCAGTTAAGGAACATAGGTAAAAGAAGTGAGGAGTGGCTTTTGGTTTGCACCTCCCTGCAGAAAGCAGGAAAGCTCTGATTAAGCTTGAAGTGGGAATCAAGTGAAATGTAGAGAAGAACAAAAAGAAAGTGAGGGAGGATGGCAAAATGGGAGCATTTTCAGGGAACTAGGTGCCAAGCAGAGAGCACAGGCTAAGTAAAAGTTTTTCTTCCAGCAGCTTGGAACTCTGTTGGCTGTGTGGAGTAGGAGGTTGGCAGTTTGACCTGCTTCTCCTGGGGGAATAAGGTGGTGGGGGAGCACAGAGTTAGTAGACAAGCTCGTGGAGAGCAGGGGAAGGAGGATTTTGCTTTTGTGTTGGGAGATGTTTTGGCTCAGTGTTCTCTCTTTGACAGGTCAAGAACCATCCCTCAAGTCTGTGCTGTGTAAAATAGGGCAGGAGATGGTTGTCCTGCATGACCTCCTGAATAAAATGGAAACTGAGGTTCAACAGCAGAAAAAACTGAATGCTTTGCTAAAAGTAATCCTCTTTTTTTTTTTCTTGTTCATAGAATACTGAAAGATTCAAAGGCATTTTGATAAGTGTGTTAGTTCCTCTTTTTAGATCCTAAGTGATAGGTTTGGGTGCATGAAGCTGCTTGTAAGTGGAACAGGGACTTGGAACAGGTTTACTGATGGTTTATGAAGCACCTCTCCAGCACAGTGAACATAAACAATGTAATTTTTCCAGGTTTATAACTGAAAGGGTGTCTTTATCATAACACTGTGATCTAAAGAGCAGTTATACTTTTACATCCCTCCAATAGCTATGAAAACAATTGAATTAGAATATCTGTTGTCCTCTTGTGTGTTTGCAGTGCCTTCCTGTGTTAAGTCTCTGGTGAAAGTGTTTGGGGAATGTAGATGAGTTTCCTGCTGTATCTCCATCACTGCCACCTTTCCCCTGTCCCAACCTGCTAGGATATATTGTGAAAGATTTACTCCTTGCCTGCTTAAATTTCATGAATTCTTAAGAAGAACTTGTGTTTTCTCACTCTGAGCTTTGTTTTGTGGAGCTTTGCTAGTTGCTTGTGGGGAAATTAGAGGGATAAAGGAGGCAAGATGATGGGGTGAGAGCAAAGAGCACCTCTAAGAGTAACCTGCTTTGGCTTGCTTGATGTAAAATTTTGCATTTCTCATGAAGTCTAACCATCATTTCAGGAGCTCCAGAAATCTGCTGAGAGAGAGCAGGGTGAGGCTCAGCACCTCCGTGAGAACATCCCTCCCCATCTGCCCAAACCAACTCAGAGCAGGTATGTGGGACATGAGCGTGGAGAGATCAGGCTGCTCCTGGCAACCTCCAGCTGCAGCACTGTGCCCCTCTTCTCCTTTTGCTGTGGGTTAACTGGGAACTTCTGGGAGCTGCTTGTTGCATGGGTTGATTCTGGATTTTGCTCCTGGCCATGTGTGTGAGCGCCCTGACAAATCCCTCAGGTGGAATCTTGAAAATACCAAGTTGTTCAGGTGGGAGCTTCCAGTGGCAGGTGTGACATGGAGTAAAAATCCAGTTCTTGGATAAATCTGCTCATTCCTTGCTTTAGAATTGCAACCACCCTGATTTGATAGCTGCAGTGCCAAAGGGTTGAAGGGTGGGTTAGTGATCCCAATGCTAGGTTATTAAAATTGCCCTTCCAAATATTAAAAAAAACAACAACAAACAAACCCTCTAACTCAATCATCATTCTTGAATGATGGTTGTGGCATTTTTATTCTCCTCTCCCTGTAGCAGCCTGGCATTTATTTTAGCTAGCAATGTTCCCCCCCTGCCTTTGAGAGGGGCTAAGAAGCTGCTCAGAATCAAGGAGCTCAAGGAATAAAATGAGCCCTAAGTATGTGAAACAACAGCTATGGTTCAAAAAGCTTCTAAGGCATTATTACTCTGACTGGGTTTCTCAGTGTGGTCAGCTCTTTCTCTGGCTTGTGGGAATTGCTGTTTAGTTTTGAGGGATGTTGGTGTATGCCAGGTGGGGGTCTCTTTGAAATTGTACCTTCAGGACGCCTGAACTCAGTGCTTCCAACACGTGCCCTCAATCTATCAGCTTTCCCTGCTCTTGCTCCTCATGGCAGACAAACCTCAGGCTGGAAACATTGCAGGAATATTCCTGCCAAGTGTAAGGTGAAGGATGTGGAAATGAGGTTGGAGAAAAAAAATCAACTGTAGTTTTAGTGTGTAGCAGTGTTCTCATCTGTGTAGGTACTCCTTGTAGTAAAACTTGCCCTACTCTTAGCTGGCAGAGAGCTGAGTTGTGCAAAAGCTTTTATTTTGAGTGAAACCCTTCAGACATGAACCCCCCCCCACCAGACAATCACCTCCTAAAATATGTCTGGAAATGTTTTGTTCCTTTTCAATTTCCTCTTCCATTTAGATGTTGCAGGTATTTGTTTGTGTTCGTGAACGAATGAAAGTTCTTCAGAAATTACCCCTGGGGTCTTGCCTTCCTTTTGTAACTTAACTTTCCTTAGGAAAAAAAGCTTTGTCTTAAGTTTCCATGAGGTCCTGGGAATTGTTTAGATGCAAATGAGGCTTGTTTAGTGATTGTGTCAGCTCTGGTGTCAAAAAGATTCTTTGGGATGTTGGTTTCCTTTCCAATCGTGTCCTGGTTTTAGTCGAGAAATTAATTGTGGTGCAAGTTGAGCTGCTCCTTCCCTTTCCAGACAGAGCTGCCCATGTAACACTATGCAAGTTTTCCTCATGATTTTCAACAGATAATGCTCTGCCAGTTTACACTTCCTGTTCTGTCACTGCCAATTAGTGGTGTTGGTTTTTCCTGAGGAGTCCTAATGCCATTTGTCAAAACACCCTTTCTCCATTGTCCCCTCTGAGTGTTCACTGTGTTGTGCAGTGGAGGATCAAGCAAGTAACTGGTCAGAACCCATCTGGGTGGGTGCAAATGGGTCTTCAGTCCTCTTCCACAAACCTCCCTTCTTTTACCTTCCCAATTTCTGTTCCTGAACACCAGTGAGACAGGCCTTCACATCTCAGGAAGAATGAAAACACCCACACAGGTGAACTGAACAATTCATGGCTTTAGCCATTGTTTGTCTCTTGTTTGATGTTCTTGTTTACTGGAGGAATCTCACAGGACTAAAAAGCAAGTTCAAAGTACTTTAAGCCCTTTGTGTTCCAGGTGTTTATTGAGAGAGCAGTTAGAGCAGTTTCTCACTGCACCAAGCCCAGGTTTTGAATAGAAGCTTCAGTTCTTTCTTCTCATGGTCCAGGTGAGCAGTGGGCTGTACATCTACCAGCTCACTGCAGGCAGGTACAGGCAAAGTAGCAGGTGGGAACCCAAAGCAGAAGTATCTGGGGGTGAGGAATCATCTAGAAAAGATCAGGGGACTGTTGTGGTGAGGAGGATGGCAGGAGATGTACAGGAGGAGTGAGGATTTAAGATGTGAACTCTCGCCTCACTTAATCATTGTGTCTATTCTTATTCCAAACCCATCACCTGAAATCATGGGATCATGGACTGGTTTGGGTTAGAAGGGACCTTCAAGACCTTCAAGAACAAATAGTTCCAACCCCCCCTGCATGGGACACCTCCCACCAGCCCAGGCTGCTCCAAGCCCCATCCATCCTGCCCTTCAACACTGCCAGGGATGGGGCAGCCACAGCTTCTCTGGGCAACCTGGGCCGGGGTCTCACCTCCCTCACACCAAAGAATTTCTTCCATATCCCCACCCTTCCATTTTCCTTGCTGACATTCTTTGCAACCAGTGCTAGCTCCAGGGTGCCAGGGTTAGCTTTGTGCAGGGCCTCACCTTGTTTTTCAGATGTTTCCCTCTGCATTAGTTTAACTGCTGCCGTCCTGCATTGCAGGAGGATTCTGCACTGTGGTATGACAGGCAGCAGAGCTTCCCCTGTCACTGCGGCACAGACCAGACAATCTGGAAGCCCAGCAGGTGGCACTCGTTGTCCTCTGAGCCACTGTCACCTTCCTTGGGAAATGGGACACTGAGTTTTGAGATGTCACATCAAGTGACACATCAAATCCGGGCTGTCAGGGCAGCAGAAGCACTGCTGTGCTCTGGCAGGCTCTGTGTCCCCTTCCTGTGGGACAGCTGGATCAAAGCAAATTATCAGTTCTTTGAGACACATCAGCTTGATGCTCCTTTAGTTATTTCTGTTGCACATCACAGTCATGTCCTTCTGCTGAGGTGACAGGGAATTTGGCCAAATGCCTCCTCTTTGCTGTCCTGCCAATGAGCAGGAGAGCAGCTAGGTGGGTGCCTGGCAAATAACTCTGTGTTTGAGGCTCTAAGCTGAGGGTTTGGAAGAAGAGTGAATGTAGAAAAATAATGCTTTGATAATCACTCAAAGCAGGAAATTCCTCAGCTTTTGGCATCGTGCCTAAATATATATGTGTGTGTGTATATAAATAAATAAAAAATCCCAGCCTGCTGGAGGGTGTTGAATTTCTTTTGAAGCAAAGATGAATGGATGAGTCAGGCTTCCCAAGATTTGAACTTGTCTCAGGGAGCTGTGAAGTGTTTAAAATCCTCCCGTTAGGCTGCAGCTCTATGCTCTGGTTCCATCTGATTAAAAAGCCCAGGCCTCATGTTCTGTGCAATGTAATGGTACATTGCATTTGTAACTGCTCTCTGCTGCCCTTGGACTGCTTCCAATTCACCTGCTAGCAGAGCAGTGAAGAGCTGTAATGAAGTCAGCTTCAAGCAAGCAATTTGAAATGGAGCAGGCCTTGCTGTATTGATTGTTTGATTTGTTTTCTTTCAGGAAAGATGGTGATTTGTATTCATCCAACCTAAGAGATGGGTTGGAACTCAGGTCTGTGAGTAAACAGGCTTGATAATACCATGTGTTCTCCTTACTACATATCTATTTATGTGCTTCATATTCATTCAATTGACAGCATCACTGGGCTAACTGGGAAATGTGAAGAACAAGGAAAAGCCGCGGAACCTGAACGTGCAAAGAAACCTATAAAAGAGCAAAGACCTATTAAAGAAGCAGCCTTAATAACTGCAGAAGAATTTGAAAGTGTTCCTGCGTAAGTAAGCACAGCTTTTCTTACACCCTGGGGTGCCAGTTTGGGAAAGGGAGCTCTTGGAGATCTCAGACTGACAGAGATGCTTTGAAATTTCACCACAGGGTGAGAGCTCCCAGTAGTTCATATGCAATACCAGCAAACCTGCAAAGTGAGATGAATAGAGCTAATCAAGTTCTTATTTATGTATATGCTGGGAAGATCAGAGTTAATCAATTGAAACCCAAACATCTTTTTTCAAAAGTCACTTGAGTTGTATGAGAAGGAATATATTGACTCTGAAGTCTGTCATGTAGGAATAATGCTTCTTAAATGGCATTTTGGGAACAAGGACAAATATTGCTGCAAAAAGGAGGAAATTCTCTTGATGCCTAAAGCTAAATTGTTATCTAGACTTTAGATTCAGTGTGTTCCTTGACAAAACTGGTTTCAATAAGGTTTTTCATGTAGTCTGTGTTTTACTTGAGGTGTTCAAATTATCTTTGCTTACAGCTTTCAGAACTCTCAGGTGAACAATGTCCCATTGCTCAGTCCAAAAAAAAAATAAAATCAGGGAGCCTGGATGTTGAGCTAATGATAAGAGACCTTTTTTGGTTGCCTTTAAAAACTGCACCCACCTGGGATTTTTATTCTTTTATTATTGGTGGATTTACTCCCTTAGATACTTAGACATTTTTGGGAAGGTAAAAAGCTGGAGCATGGCAATTTGTGGTCTTTATGAATGCAAAAGAAGTAGGCAAAGACCATTCCAGCCAAATGTTGGTTTAACTCTCAATTAAAGCTATGATCTTTCCTGAAGACTTCATGAAAGTCCTTGAAAGGGGGAGGTTTTCCACCACTGTTGGTGGCTGGGGTCAGAGGCCAGCTGGATACTCTTCCATTCACCCCTGGTTTGTAGAAATGTTGCATCTGAGACTCTGCTTGTGGGCTCTAGAAGAATTTTGATTCAGATAGGAGAAGCTTGTTTGTTCTGTGGAGGAAGATTTGCATGAATTTAGATAGAGCTATTAACCTACCAGTTTTTTCCTGTCTCCTGGCAGTCTTGTAGTACAAGATTGGAGGATAAGGATTGGAAAGCTGAGCTTTCACAGCCTGTTTAATGAAATCCAAGCAGCAAATGTTGCTGACCTGAATTTGCACCTGCCAAGGGGCTCCTTTTCATTCTTCTTCTCCTTTCCCACCACAGCTGTGGTAGATTCTAACTGAAAAACCTGGGCATTTTTCACTCTTTTTATGCTGAATTCAAAGGAGAAATCTATCCCTAACATCATTAAGACACTAAAAGGGATAGATGGTCTTCAGTGACTTCAGCTTTTCTGAACTCTGGAGCAGGTGTTTAACCAAGGGACACGCTGTGTTAAGGTGCAGATCTGGATCACCTTGATCAAATAAAATGCTCCCTCCCAGTAAGGAACTTGCAAATTATCTCAGCCTTCCAATCTGTTGCAGAAAGACACTTTTGGGAGGAAGAAAAAGGAAATTGCATAGTAGATGTCTCAGTGAACAATGAATTCAAGGCAAAGGGAAATGCTTTGTTCTTTGGCTAAAATTCTTCCCTCTTTATCTGCACGTTCATGATAATTCTCTGAAGTTTATGTTAACTTGAGGGAATATCTATTTCTTTTAACCTAAGCATTTTTGAGGGAGCAGGAGCAGTGGGAGGATTATCTCTTTTCCCCTGTTATATATGTGATATACTGATGATATTCTTTTCTTTGAACACAGCACTTTGGTTTTCATACCTATGGAAAAAAAAAAAGTGTTCTGAAAAGGGCTTGTGTGGATTGAGGGAAAAAAAAAGGAAACTGGGTCACTTGTTTAAAAACAAAGTTTTGAGTGTTTTTTGCTTTTGGTGGAGTCAAGGAGATTAAAGTTACTTAAAATCTAAATGAAATGGATGAATTTGGAACTTCTTAACTTGTTGTTTTTTTTTTATATGAGCCTATGGGCTGAAATAAATGTCAGCATTTATGGGTTTGCTGGGTGGAAACATGAGAAGACTAGAACAGCTGGAGTTTTTATGATTCTTAGTATGGACAGAAGAAAAATCCTAGTTGCTTTTGATATAGAATTCAACTTTGGATGAAGGCACCTACAGTTAAGTGTGTGACTCAGGTGTCTCCATGCTCACCAAGAGCTCCCCCTCTGGATCTTTAATTCCTGAATTTTCTGTATCCCCCAGCACATCTGCTGCCCCCACAGGAGCATTTTGGATGCCTGAGGGCCTCTCAGGGAGCTCTCAGTTCCCAGGGTTAGGCAACTGAGTCCTGCTTCTCTCTGCTTCAGGATGAGTTGAATTCTCTTGGCTTTATTGTGTTCCCTGTATCTCTATTGATAGCAGGAGCATAGCAACTTAAATAGAGGTATTTTATACCTCTGGCTTTCATCTTTATAGCTCTGCATGTTCCCCTGTGACTTTATAAATAGGTTAAGGGATGCAGAGAGAGCAAGAAATAGCAGTTAATGGCTGCAGCTCTATGCTCTGGTTCCATCTGATTAAAAAGCCCAGGCCTCATGTTCTGTGCAATGTAATGGTACATTGCATTTGTAACTGCTCTCTGCTGCCCTTGGACTGCTTCCAATTCACCTGCTAGCAGAGCAGTGAAGAGCTGTAATGAAGTCAGCTTCAAGCAAGCAATTTGAAATGGAGCAGGCCTTGCTGTATTGATTGTTTGATTTGTTTTCTTTCAGGAAAGATGGTGATTTGTATTCATCCAACCTAAGAGATGGGTTGGAACTCAGGTCTGTGAGTAAACAGGCTTGATAATACCATGTGTTCTCCTTACTACATATCTATTTATGTGCTTCATATTCATTCAATTGACAGCATCACTGGGCTAACTGGGAAATGTGAAGAACAAGGAAAAGCCGCGGAACCTGAACGTGCAAAGAAACCTATAAAAGAGCAAAGACCTATTAAAGAAGCAGCCTTAATAACTGCAGAAGAATTTGAAAGTGTTCCTGCGTAAGTAAGCACAGCTTTTCTTACACCCTGGGGTGCCAGTTTGGGAAAGGGAGCTCTTGGAGATCTCAGACTGACAGAGATGCTTTGAAATTTCACCACAGGGTGAGAGCTCCCAGTAGTTCATATGCAATACCAGCAAACCTGCAAAGTGAGATGAATAGAGCTAATCAAGTTCTTATTTATGTATATGCTGGGAAGATCAGAGTTAATCAATTGAAACCCAAACATCTTTTTTCAAAAGTCACTTGAGTTGTATGAGAAGGAATATATTGACTCTGAAGTCTGTCATGTCGGAATAATGCTTCTTAAATGGCATTTTGGGAACAAGGACAAATATTGCTGCAAAAAGGAGGAAATTCTCTTGATGCCTAAAGCTAAATTGTTATCTAGACTTTAGATTCAGTGTGTTCCTTGACAAAACTGGTTTCAATAAGGCTTTTCATGTAGTCTGTGTTTTACTTGAGGTGTTCAAATTATCTTTGCTTACAGCTTTCAGAACTCTCAGGTGAACAATGTCCCATTGCTCAGTCCAAAAAAAAAATAAAATCAGGGAGCCTGGATGTTGAGCTAATGATAAGAGACCTTTTTTGGTTGCCTTTAAAAACTGCACCCACCTGGGATTTTTATTCTTTTATTATTGGTGGATTTACTCCCTTAGATACTTAGACATTTTTGGGAAGGTAAAAAGCTGGAGCATGGCAATTTGTGGTCTTTATGAATGCAAAAGAAGTAGGCAAAGACCATTCCAGCCAAATGTTGGTTTAACTCTCAATTAAAGCTATGATCTTTCCTGAAGACTTCATGAAAGTCCTTGAAAGGGGGAGGTTTTCCACCACTGTTGGTGGCTGGGGTCAGAGGCCAGCTGGATACTCTTCTATTCACCCCTGGTTTGTAGAAATGTTGCATCTGAGACTCTGCTTGTGGGCTCTAGAAGAATTTTGATTCAGATAGGAGAAGCTTGTTTGTTCTGTGGAGGAAGATTTGCATGAATTTAGATAGAGCTATTAACCTACCAGTTTTTTCCTGTCTCCTGGCAGTCTTGTAGTACAAGATTGGAGGATAAGGATTGGAAAGCTGAGCTTTCACAGCCTGTTTAATGAAATCCAAGCAGCAAATGTTGCTGACCTGAATTTGCACCTGCCAAGGGGCTCCTTTTCATTCTTCTTCTCCTTTCCCACCACAGCTGTGGTAGATTCTAACTGAAAAACCTGGGCATTTTTCACTCTTTTTATGCTGAATTCAAAGGAGAAATCTATCCCTAACATCATTAAGACACTAAAAGGGATAGATGGTCTTCAGTGACTTCAGCTTTTCTGAACTCTGGAGCAGGTGTTTAACCAAGGGACACGCTGTGTTACGGTGCAGATCTGGATCACCTTGATCAAATAAAATGCTCCCTCCCAGTAAGGAACTTGCAAATTATCTTAGCCTTCCAATCTGTTGCAGAAAGACACTTTTGGGAGGAAGAAAAAGGAAATTGCATAGTAGATGTCTCAGTGAACAATGAATTCAAGGCAAAGGGAAATGCTTTGTTCTTTGTCTAAAATTCTTCCCTCTTTATCTGCACGTTCATGATAATTCTCTGAAGTTTATGTTAACTTGAGGGAATATCTATTTCTTTTAACCTAAGCATTTTTGAGGGAGCAGGAGCAGTGGGAGGATTATCTCTTTTCCCCTGTTATATATGTGATATACTGATGATATTCTTTTCTTTGAACACAGCACTTTGGTTTTCATACCTATGGAAAAAAAAAAAGTGTTCTGAAAAGGGCTTGTGTGGATTGAGGGAAAAAAAAAGGAAACTGGGTCACTTGTTTAAAAACAAAGTTTTGAGTGTTTTTTGCTTTTGGTGGAGTCAAGGAGATTAAAGTTACTTAAAATCTAAATGAAATGGATGAATTTGGAACTTCTTAACTTGTTGTTTTTTTTTTATATGAGCCTATGGGCTGAAATAAATGTCAGCATTTATGGGTTTGCTGGGTGGAAACATGAGAAGACTAGAACAGCTGGAGTTTTTATGATTCTTAGTATGGACAGAAGAAAAATCCTAGTTGCTTTTGATATAGAATTCAACTTTGGATGAAGGCACCTACAGTTAAGTGTGTGACTCAGGTGTCTCCATGCTCACCAAGAGCTCCCCCTCTGGATCTTTAATTCCTGAATTTTCTGTATCCCCCAGCACATCTGCTGCCCCCACGGGAGCATTTTGGATGCCTGAGGGCCTCTCAGGGAGCTCTCAGTTCCCAGGGTTAGGCAACTGAGTCCTGCTTCTCTCTGCTTCAGGATGAGTTGAATTCTCTTGGCTTGTGTTCCCTGTATCTCTATTGATAGCAGGAGCATAGCAACTTAAATAGAGGTATTTTATACCTCTGGCTTTCATCTTTATAGCTCTGCACGTTCCCCTGTGACTTTATAAATAGGTTAAGGGATGCAGAGAGAGCAAGAAATAGCAGTTAATATATAGAGGCAAAGCCCTCCTGTGGCTACAGGCTGTGCTGCTCCTTTGTGCCCTGTGTAACTGGGTTCCAGGGGTGGTAGGGCTGCTTTGATTTGGCAAGATGTTGATGTGTGCCAAGCAGAGTGTTATAAAAACAGTTGTGCCTCCCCCGTTGAATCTGGATGGATCAAAATAGCAAGAAATTAGTGGCAATTTAATCTGGAATGGGAGCAGTTGCTTTGAATGCAGGAGTTTTTACACACCCCGTGCAGACCTGTCTCCCTATTATTAAAACCTACAGCTTGGCAATTGTATAATGCCTGGAATTTGTAATTGATCAGCTACTTCTGCTTTCAGTTCTTGTATCTTTTCCAAATATGAAGCTGCTTTTTTTTTCATTCAGATGAAAACAAGGAGAGAATTTCCTGCTCATTGATCTCTTCCCTCTGGTTCTCCTCCAGCTTTCAGCCTCCTGATGTAGTGACCTGAAGAACCCCATTCATTGTCAGGATCATTCAAGTTGCAAAGTTGCCCCTGGCTCTTAACTGCAGTTTTCCCTGGGCTTTTCTTTGCTTTGGTATTTATCTTTCTGCTTGTCATATGAGTTTCAGATTTCATCTTTTATAGAAGGCTTCTCAGTTTGCTTGAATTGCAAGCCTTTACATCTATAAATACTGAATAGCTTGATTTGCAGATACTCTAAAATTTCCACAACACTTTGTTGCTTTTTTTTTAATCTTCTGTGCTTCCTGTACCTCTAAGCTGTTATCAACAGATCTTCTTATTTTTAGTACCAGTTGGATAAAATGCTCTGAAAGTTCAGAAGAGGGTGTTGGCAGTGCAGATTTGTGCCTGTATAGCTCAAGAGGCTGCACAAAAAAATAGAGAGAACAACACAAAACTGGTATTTCTTAAAAAAAAAACCAACCCAACAAATGGCTGTGAGAGCCAACACAGGTTATTTATAAATATATTATGACCCAAATTGCACTTTTAGGCAGAAACATTTAACTTCAGTTTTGGCTTGTGTTATGTTTGCTGCAAATCTGCATTTGTTGTTTAAGTGGCACGTGAAAAAAAGCAACTTTTGTCCCAATTTTAAAAGTTCCTTACAGCTTTAGCCTGGGTATTTTTTACTTCTTAATGTAGTTTTCTCATGTTTCATCTTTCTGGTGTAGGTTTCATCATGTTTTTTCCCTTCAACACTATGAAACCATCAAGGAAATGAACAAAATGAACTACTGCCTTTACTCATTAACACAAAGCAGAAGAATCTTCCTCCAATTAGGAATAACATGTTCAATGAAGGCTGGTGAAAGAGAAATAAACATGGAACTTGGTGACATTTCTGGTTACTGCTTTTTATTTTTATTTGTAGGTACATGAAGGGTCGTTTAACCTATGATCAGATTAATGCAGTTGTGCAAGAGATGAACAAGGCTGTGGTGGGCAAGTACAAGATCCTGCATCAACCTTTGAAGTCTATGAGTGCACCAGTCAGAAATCTCTACCACAGGTTTATAGAAGAAGAAACCAAGGACACAAAAGGTATTATTATCATTATTTATTTATTTTACTTTTTTTGGCACCAAACTCACACCATTTGGATCTTGCAGCACAAGGATAAAAATACTGGGCAAGGTATTAAATAGCTGATGACAGCTTGTGCTTTTCATCTCTTAGTGCAAGACAGAGCATCTTATTTTCAGAAAATAATCCTGAAAAATTTTAGAGAACCTGTTCTTGCTTATTCTAAGATAATGAAGAGGAAAATAAGTAATAATTAGACGTAGCAGAACTTTCCCTCCCTTCCCAGCACAGGGGGTCACAGCCTAAATCAGATGTGGACCTGAAGAATTCCTGTCCATTTCAGGGGACAAACAGTGCTGGAGCAATGGAAGTTCTGATTCTTCCTTGATATCAAGGGAGGAGAAAAGAGATTCAGTCCCAGATCAAATTCCAGGCCACAAGGAAGAGAAATGTCTTCTTACTGTACAAAACTGAGCATTTAGTATAAGATCCAGGCACTCTTTTTGGATAAAGTCACATAGTTCAGCAACAACTAACTTCAGTGACTGAAAAGATTTCCCATAACTGATTTGGTTGTTACTACTTAAGTATTTTCACTGAAAACATGTCACTTTCATGACATATAGTAGCAAAAACTTGTAAGTACACAAAGATTTAATTGGAATGGCTACAAGTTGTGGAAGCTCCTAGTTGGAGAAGCAAACTGTGTAAGCTCTGTTTGCAGTTTTTAAGCTAGAATGGACATGGACATTTGTTCTGAAGTTGGGAAATGTGGGTAATCAGTCATGCTGCAGTGCCTCCGTGGAAGAGACAGGCCTGTCTGATAATTTTAAGGAGTTTTCTTCTCTTCAAAGCACAGAGGGTGTGAAAAAGCACCAAAATGTCTCAATTTAAAAGCAAGTTGTACTTGCAGGATAGTTTCTCCAAAGCTACGTGGCACAGCAAATCTCTAATTTTAAATCCTCCTTTCTGACAAGCCTTTCCTTTTGAGAACAAGCATGTAATTATTCCTGGAGGGGTGTACTGCACTTACCAAGTGATGTCCTTAGAATGCCTTCATGTTTCCAAGTTCACACTTGAAGCATGGAGCAAACTCTTCTCTCTCAGAAAGCAAACTCTTTTTCTAACACCTTTGTGCTCACCTCTATTTATGCCCTGGACAGAAGACCAGAAGTTTCTGCCCTTCATTTACTGGGTGCTCAGGAGTCACCTTGTAACAAATTACTTCTTCCTCCTTCCTCTTGGATTTGTTGCTGATCAAAACTCACTCAATATTGTAGTTATTCTGATTTGGACTCTGAGAGTTTGGTTTTTCACTAAAGAAGTTTGGCTTCAGTCTAACTTGGTCTTGTATTTATTTGGGATTTCTTCAAATATTTACTTTATCATTTTAAATTTAGAATATTATTTGTTTAACTGTGGCTGTCCTCAGGATAATGAGTCCATGGCTGTAGAGGAGAGTCTAAATGCTAAAAGAGCTTTCCTAGGCCTGGAATGCTGCTTGTACATTAGGAGGAAATTCTTGGCTGTGAGAGTGGTGAGCCCCTGGCCCAGGTTGCCCAGAGAAGCTGTGGCTGCCCCATCCCTGGCAGTGTTGAAGGGCAGGTTGGATGGGGCTTGGAGCAGCCTGGGCTGGTGGGAGGTGTCCCTGCCCATGCAGGGGGGCTGGAGCTAGATTATCTTTCAGGTCCCTTCCAACCCAAACCATTCCATTTTTCTGCACAATGATCCATGGGCAGCCTTGGCTGCAGTGAAAGATCCACTCTAGAAACATGAGAAAGCTACAACCAGTCAGCGATAATTTTATTCCAGAAAGGATTATTTTATTAACCTGAAAAACAGAGGGAGTTTAAGTTCTTCAAGTACCTGAGAGCCAATCCTGATTTTCTTGTTGATGTTGGAAAGTTCAGTTAGGAAATGAGGACATTCAGCATCTGAGACAGTGTGTGTGGGGGGTAGGTTTTCTTTTGTGTGTGTTTGTTGTGACTAATCATCTAGAAAGTCTAAAGAAAAGGTCTGACAGGCAGTTGTTGTCTGGCCAGCACAAAATGATTAAATGTCTTCATCCATTGCATTTTTCAGGAGGAGGTTGTGCATTCATTGATTAGTTTGCTTAAGTTTCTGCTGGGAGTGTCTCCCTGCTTAGGATTCTCACTGTTTCTCAGCCTGGGCTGATTGCCAGCTGACCTTTTCCTCTTGATTTCCAGAGGAGAAAAAAAATCTGCCTGCTTAATCAGGAGAACTTTCCACCAGCCAATAATGTGGTTCAGTGAGTTTAGCCACTTACTTAGTGCCCAGAGTAACTGTTTCCAACCAAACCTCCACCCTTCAGCCAGCTCTGGTTTCTTCATAACCAAGATCCTGCTGTCCTGAGTGTTGCTGCCCTGAGTTCTGGCAAATAGAAGAAGAAATCAGATTTTGCACAAATTCAGGACATTCTGATGCTCTGGCAGAGCAAGGTTTTGGGGAAGGCTGTACTGGTAAATGGCATTCTGGGACCTCAGTTCTAATGGCCACCACATCCTTGGATGCTCTTTCAGAGTAGAGTTGCTCTCTACAACTCCCTGAAAGGAGGTTGTAGTGAGGTGGGGGTGTTGGTCTCTTCTTCCAAGGAACAAGGGATGGGACAAGAGGAAATGGGCTCCAGTTGTGCCAGGGGAGGCTGAGATGGGATGTTGGGCAGCATTTCTTGCTTGTCAGGGTTGTCAGGCCCTGGCCCAGGCTGCCCAGGGCAGGGCTGGAGTCCCCATCCCTGGAGGGGTTTCCAAGCTGTGTAGATGTGGTGCTGAGGGACATGGGGCAGGGGTGGCCTGGGCAGGGCTGGGGGAACAGTAGGACTGAATGATCTTTTCCCACCTTAATGATTCTATGACATGTAAAGATGAGATGTTTACAGAAAAGTTTCCTGTGTAAAGCTGCATTGTATTTATTTAATCAATAAATAAAAGCTTTCTTGGCAGCTTCAGTTTTCCAGGCAGCATCAACTACTTTCTCCTCAAGGAAGAAGGAAGGCATCTCCAATAATAGGAAGAAGAGATGCTCCAGCTTAGCTACCTCTGCCTTACTTTAAGGGTAAAAGGAGGAAGAACACTGTCCTCTTTTTGCCATGCTAGAACACCCTGAGCCTTGCAACTTTGTTCTCATCAGACTTGGAAGCAGGATGCTCCAAAAGAGTGTGTTCTTTCCTTCCCTTCCTCAAAGATAATTGGGTGTTTCTTTCTTAAACCTTCATTAGCACCTTCCTGCTTTCAGATTGCTCTTCATTCTCTTGGTTGTGGAAGGTGGTTAAAACCTGATGCCACGTTACAAGAAGAATTAAATGCTCTGTCATTTTACTAGCTCTGTTATTCTCTGCTGTCTGAGCAGCCTATGAAGGCTGAACATGAAATCACAGGTACTGAATGTCTCTGGAATGCTTAGAGGAAGTCCTCCCTTCCTCCTGTCTACCTGGTTGTGAGGACTTCTCTTGTTCTGCTGCAGGCATGTTCAATGCTTTAACTCCAGTCAAGGTCTTGGTTTCTTACAAGCTCTTGCTAGTAAGAATTTCCTTGTATGAGTAGTTAATCGGTTGCAAGAAGGGATGGGCTTAATGAGGATGTTGGGAATTCTTCTTTCTGGGGATAAATGAAGGAAGTTGATGATGGGAGGGCTGGAGCACCTCTCTTATGGAGACAGGCTGGGGGAATTGGGGTTGTTCATCCTGGAGAAGACTCTGGGGGGACCTTATAGCAAACCTTTCAAAACCTGAAAGAGCTTGGGGAAGAGCTTTTCACAGGGCATGTCACGATAGGACAAGGGGTGAAGGTTTGAAGCTAGAGAAGGGCAGATTTAGGTTGGACATTAGGAAAGAGTTCCTTAATGTGAGGGTGGTGGATCAGCGGAACAGGTTGCCTGGAGAGGTGGTGGAGGCTCCATCCCTGGAGACATTTAGGCTCAGGCTTGATGGGGCTCTGAGCAACCTGGTCTAGTTGGGGATGTCCCTGCTTATTGGACTAGGTGACTTTCAGGAGGTTCCTTCCAACCTAAGACACTCTCTGATTCTTTGAAATGGAACAAAGCCCCGGAGATGGCACGAAGGCCATTCACAATTTTTCCACCAAGGCGTGGAATCCTGACAGAGAGTTCGCTTTGCTGTGAAACAAGTGTCTCCTGAGACCCAGTCACAAAGTCTCCCTTTGGTTCCCCAGGTGAGTTCTTCATCGTGGAGGCAGATATCAAGGAGTTCACCCAGCTGAAAGCCGACAAGCGCTTCCACAGCATCCTCAACATCCTGCGCCACTGCCAGCGGGTCAGGGAAGTCCGGGGCTCCCGCCTCGTCCGCTACGTCATCTGCTGACCAGCTGCCCCTCACCCAAGATAAGAGGACACAAGTATTTTGAGATGTAGAGAGATGTTGTTGGCTTTGTTGTTTTTTGGTGGGTTTTTTTTGCAGTGTTTCTTATCTCTGGGGCATTCCTACCTGCCTCTCTTACTGCCTAAAAAGGCAGCAGTGAGGACCAGGGGGTGTTTTTGTGCCATCTACCCTAGATGAGGAGTGGCAATATCAAGTGGCATTGAAGTCTTTGAGTTTTGGTGTGAAAACTTGAGAGGAATGATTTGTCTTCTGGTGAATTACAACTGCAGTTGGCATACCTGTAGACACAGGCAGTTTCAATCACATTTTCAGGTCAGCACTTGAAATGTTAACTTCTCTGCACATTAATAATGAGCCTTTTGTGTTTATGAGTTGGAGACTCGGCTTAAGACTCTGTAGCTACTCACAGGGAGGATTAGATTCTTTGCTTTTTTTAATCCATCAAACCAATTTCCAGATTTCCTTTTCTTAATCTTTTTCTTCTTATCCTAGTTGTATGGTTTGGAGTTTCCTGCCTGGCCTGAACAGGAAGATCTGAGGTGGTTTAAACATTTCCAGACTGCTGCTGGGTAGTTTTCTTAGCCATGTGGTTTCCATACTTCCACCAGGCAGCCAGATTATTTTTTTTTTTTCTCCTCAGATCAATTCATTAGACTGAAACAATAGAGCAGTGGGGTTTGTAAACTGAAAATGTTGACTTTCACTTGAAAAATGCTGGTCAACCTTGTCACTTTTTATTAGAGGAGATTTAGTTTCAAAGGACCTATTGGTGTAGTAAGCTCCAGAGTAGAATCCTTGTGATAAATATCAACTCTGTGAGTTATCAAAGCTGTTTTGATAAAAGCTTGTGGTCTTGTTTTTCCATGAGCCTGTATCTGCTGTTATCCTAATATCTAATCTAAATATCCCTTCTTGTACCCTGTTTGTGTTCAGATGACAATTTAATGAGCAAAAGACCCTGAATGAACTTTGACATTTCTCAATAAAGAGATTCTGGTAATACAGATTTTAGATTCCTGGATTGTATCCTAGGTTTATAGTCCTAGATTCTTTTTTTTTTTTTCATGTGTGTGATGGTTGGTTTTTATGGTCTTTTGCTCTGGGGTGTTGAGATCCAAGCTTAGGTGTCCCTAGAGGGAGAGTGACCTGCTGGGTATGGGGCTACTTCAGTGTTTACTACGTGTTGACTTCTCTCCCTCTCTAATTTACTTTCTGGTTATACAGCTTTAACTTGAAACATGTGGGGAAGAAGCCAAAGGGGCCTCAAAAAGACCCAGAAGAACGAAGGGGATGAGGATCAACAAGACCAAGTGCACTTGGGCCACATCACCAAGTGCACCAAGTCCTGCACTTGGGCCACATCACCAGAGCTACAGGCTGGGGGAAGAGTGGCTGGAGAGCAGCCCAGCAGAAAGGGGACTGGGAGCACTGGTTGACATCTGCTTGAACAGGAGCCAGCAGTATGCTCAGGTGGCCCAGGAGGCCAATGGCATCCTGGCTTAATCAGGAATGGTGTGGCCAGCAGGAGCGGGGATGTGATTGTCCCCCTGTGCTCAGCCCTGGTGAGCCCTGTGTCCAGTTCTGGGCCCCTCACTGCAAGAAGGACCTGGAGGTGCTGGGGCAGGTCCAGAGGAGAAAACAAGGCTGGTGAAGGGACTAGAGGGGAAGTCTTGTAGGGATGGGCTGAGGGAGCTGGGGTTGTTCAGCCTGGAGAAGAGGAGACTCAGGGGGGACCTTCTCCCTCTCTACAACTCCCTGAAGGGAGGTTGGAGTCAGGTGGGGTTGGGCTCTTTTTCCAGGCAACTGGCAACAAGACAAGAGGGCCTGGCCTGAAGCTGCTCCAGGGGAGGGTTAGGTTGGATATCAGGAAGTACTTCCATGGAAAGGGTGATCAGACATTGGGATGGACTGCCCAGGGCAGGGGTGGAGGCACCATCCCTGGAGGTGTTCAAGGGAAGGCTGGAGGTGGCACTTGGTGCCATGGTCTGGAGATGTGGTGGTGTTGGTCACAGGCTGGACTTGATGGTCTGAAAGGTCTTTTCCAACCCCAATAACTCTGTGATTCTGTGAACACTTTGCTGGAAGGAGAGGTCTGACTAGATGGGACAGCCATGCAGGCTTGCAAAGGAACTTGATGGGCAAACAAGCCTGAGACACATGTTTATTATTATAATCAGAGAGAGAGACAAGAGAGCTGTTCTTCTAAAGTGGCTGAGAATCACTTGTGCACCCTGATAGTGTCACCAAAGGGGTTTTCTGTTGAGCTATCCCTGTGATTCTATGGTGGGTTTTTTGGGGTTGTGTTTTGTCTTTTTCCTCACTGCTTGTTTTGGGTAAGCTTCCTTGCTGCATAAATATTTCCCTCCTGCTTTTAATTCCTTTTCATGTTTGGTTGTGGGGATTGCAGTTGGTGATTAATTAGATGTTGGTTAACAGCTTTCAGTCTCTTACTGTGGAGTTTTTAATTTTCTAAACTATTTTCCCTCAGGCAGATTCTCACAAATGTGCTCATTATTTTAATCCCCTCTCCTAACATTAGGCTTTCTTTCTATTACTTCTCAAGAGGAAGATTTACCATGGCCTGTGGTCACTTGCTGTGCCCTTCCACCTTTTTACCTCCTAAAATTCATGCTGAAAAATCAAAATGAGGTGGAAAATCATAAAGCTCGGGTGTCCCAGGTGCTCAGTGAGATCCTGTCTCCTCTCTTGAATTAATTTTTGATGTTTTCAAAGCATTTTGGGGTCAAAGTGTTCATGTCCAGGAGTTCCAAGAGGACAATCTTCTTGTCTGTGTTTACTTATTTCTCTCTCTGGCTGGTGCTACCCATACCTTTCATCAGCACCCAACTGGCAACAGTGCCCAGATACCGGGATGTGTTTCTGACAGTCCTGCCAGATGGTTTCATTTACTAGTCCTCCAAAACAGAGCTCACTTGCAGCTTTCCAGTGCTGACTTGCACTCTTCCAAATATCAGCTTCTCTCATATTTCAGCTTCTGAAAACAAGGAACTAAAACTGAGGTAACACAACTTTAATTACCTGATACATGAGAAAGGAATCACGTTCTTCCCGCAGCATTAATCTCTTCTCCTCAGGATTTGTCTCAGTTTGTGCTTTCACACCCATTGCTCCCAACCCCCTGGATATACCAGGAGCCATAAGGAAGGGGAGAAGTGGTTAATGACTACACATTTGGTGGAGAAAGTTATCTCCTCGGGCTGGTCTAGACAGAACACAGATGTTTGTGATAATCTGATACCATGGGGTGAATGCCTTGGGCAGAGGAGGAAAGAAACAGCTGTTCAATTTGGCCTTGGCAGTTAAAATCAAAGTGAATCCCATGGTCCTGTGCACCTTGGTGGGGTTTGGAGGATGGGAAGATGCCATCTGACAAGGAGAAGCATTGGACAAGGTGGGCAGGAACAGGAATGAAGGGAAGAAGAAAGTCAGCAACGTGTCTGGTCCTAGGGGAGTTGGGTTTTATGCCTGTCAGGGACCCCACCCAGGCATCTAAAAAGTTGAAACCAAACAAAATAGCTTGTTAAAATGCTCTTTGTTCTTGTCCATTTGCAGTTTGGCTGCTTTTAAAAAAAAAAGGCTTTTTTTTGTTGTTGTTCTCCTTAACTCCTCTTTAAAAGAGGCACTAATGGAAATAATTATCTGTCGAAATTAGTGCTCAAGCCCCCTCGATTGAGTTTGTGTTATCTCAGGAGGCAGCCACTTCCATCTGGGAGAGCACATGTTCCCTTTCAAAGTGCCCATGAGGAGTAGGAGAAACCGAGTGGTTTATGTCAATCCTGCTGGGTGAAGACCCAGACTGATAGGGAGTTAGTGCTGAGCAAAGCTGGTAAGAAACCATGTTAGGAAATGCTGGGTGAAGGAGATAATTGATATCAAGGAGTCTCCGAGTTGAGAAAAGGTGTCTCTCCCCTGCCTTGGTGTTATCAAGTGATCCTCTGATGTGTTCTCTGAATTAAAAAAGATGATCGTTACAACTGAAAAATCCAGACTTTGCACTAGGGTGGTGCTTACTGGGGCTCGTGGGACTAAATCATGATGTCCCAAGGCTGCTTCCCTTCTCCTGAGCAGAGAAGCAGTGTGGTTTTCTGTTTCAAACAAGCTGCAAAACCATTTTGCAGCCTGCAGAGAAATCCTGTGCTGAGGACAAGCAAGAAATCTTGACTTAAATAATTTCTAATCCAGTTTTGCATTTGTGTGTTGATTTATTTTTTCCTTAAGTGCTTGCTTCTTACTGGACAAGACTCCTTAAGACATGTTGCCTGCAACCAGAACCAAGAGCTAGGTGACATTTGAGCCCACGTGGGTGACAACCAGGAGAATATATATTTGAGCAGCTACAAAGTTTGATATCCTTGTAACTTAGGCTTTTCATTTCCCACAGTCAAGTACAAAAACTGAATTATGCTTTAGGTTGCCCAGGGAAGCTGTGGCTGCCCCATCCCTGGCAGTGTTGAAGGGCAGGTTGGATGGGGCTTGGAGCAGCCTGGGCTGGTGGGAGGTGTCCCAGCAAAGAAGCTGGAACACAGTGAGCTTTAAGGTCCCTTCCAACCTTAACCATCCTATGATTTTGTGCTTTATTATTGAATGGTTGATTTTTTTTTGTTTTATAACATTTTTTTTAAATCTAACTTGTGTCACAGGAAAATTTCCTGGGAATTGGGATGCAATTAAAATGCAGAAAAAACTTGTTTAAACAACCCCTTCTAAACATGCCAGGGTTTGTGTATAGGCAGAAGCACTTGTATATTTTATATGTAGAGACAGAAATGTGGAAGGAGCTTATTCCTACATGTGTTGCTTCCAAAGCTGAACGCTTTGACCGAAATCATAATGAAGTGGGTTTGTACTTTGATGTATGAGGCTGTAGCCTCTGCTTCCTCCTATGGAGAATTGCTCTAGGAAAACAGGTTTTCCCCTTGCCTTCATGGATTTACTGGATGCAGATGAAGTAGGGGGATATC